GTCAGAGAGTGAGGAACTGATAAGAGCAGTGTCTCTTATCTAATGTGATTCATGTGGCGAGAGCTTTTTGATGAAGTCGATAGTGTCACTGCTACAAGGACTGACAGACACACACACACACACACACTACTTTTATCAGGATGCACACCATACTGACGCCTCCGGTTCTCAAAACAAACCATGGCTTTCAGAGAAACACACTCTCACCGAAATGCACTACGTATGTTTACCACTGTGGCTGTTTGCAGGTAAGAACACAGACTGAATAGATACTAAAATCTGATGAAGAATGAAGCACTCGGAAACCACATCCTATACTCAGTACTGTATGTTTGTCTCCCTCACTTGCTCGCTCGCTCACTTGCAAACTCAGCAGCTGAGCTCACCTCGTAACTATCGAGGTCAGAATGTGGCCCGCACAGCCGTAGACTGATAAAAACCGCAAGGTACTTGTAGTATTTTTTGCCACCTGACTTAAAGCAGCATCTCAACCGGTCTTCACATCGCATTCCTGGTGTTCAGACTAGGGCTGGGCGATTTGGGCTAAAATCAAAATCTCAATTAATTAAATCGATTATGGTTAATGAACGATTATTTTTAATTATTTATTTTTTTGTCCTCATAGTTCACTGACAAGTTTTGTCCAGTAAATATGCTCACATATAAAAAGGGAGAGATTTGTATGTAGTAAACACACATGAGATGAAGTAAACACACTATTTACTATCTACGATTATTTATTGAACATTAACGCTGAACAACTGAAATTAAAACACACATTACCTAAAACACGCTCTCCACGCTGCCCACCCTCATCACCAATACCAAAGTGACCAATAAAAAAGCTTGTGCTACATGCCGTTAAGACATGTACTTACATTTTTTGAGAGGTGTGCGGGTATGCGAAGGCTGTGTCAGACAATATGCGCAGAAGTATAATATCTGAATAATAAGTTACCACACACAATAGGGAAAGTAATTTGAAAAAATTGACCAGAAAAAAATTGATCGATTCTAGGTTCCAAATGTCGATTTCGATTACTTTACGATTATTCGCTCAGCCCTAGTTTAGACTCACCAAGTCAACATTTGTTAAAACTACATCAGCTGTGTATTAAAAGAAATAGTTCAGCCGAAAATACTTATGAGTGGTTATAAACTTTGAGTTTCCTTTTTTGTTGTTGAAGACAAATTATATATTAAAGAATGTCTGAAATCATTGCCATTCAGGGGTGCGTTTCCCAAACAACAACATAACTCGCGGCTGAACAATCATAGTACGATGCATCGTTTGGGAAAAGAACGACAAAGTGATGAGTGTTTCCCAAAATCGTAGTTTCTCTGTCGCAGATCCATCGTTTTAACCACATTAGTTATGACATAAGACATCCAAAATAACACTCTAAATGGGGTGGAGTAACAATTACTTTAGAAAAAAAAACGCAAATTATGTTGTTTTACACGCTTAGCATTTTTTTTTTAAATCCAATATTAGTTTTGGTAAAAACATGCCTTATTTTGCATATTAATTGAAATATATGTAAATGACACATATAGGACCTATATATGTTTCCTTAACAAACATTATTGAGAACATTCCACATAAAATCCTTAAAATCACTAACACATATTCTAATCTCGTATATTAATCATATAACTCTGTAATGGTTGTAATTTACAGAAGGCTATTTGTTAAGAAATGGTAAAAAATCCTACTAGACAATAATAATAATAGACCTAATAATAATAGTAATAATATATATATATATATATATTCATATATATATATTTTTTCATAATAATATATTAAACATTATACATATTAACATATATATATATATATATATATATATATATATATATATATATATATATATATATATATATATATATATATATATATATATATATATATATATATTATATAATTTATTTATTTTTAAAGAAGGATATTGTTTTTTTTATTAATTTTTTTTAAGTCTTCTTTTTGACACAATCCAACCACTGCAGAAATGTTCTAACCAACAGGCTCATGTCATATACAGTACAGATACATTTATTAATAAATAACCTATTACAAATTAAAACCATTACCGTATGCTACATATTTTTGTTTTCACAAGCTTTAGAGACGTGACATAAATTTTGCTTTTAAATAATAGGTCACCTATAGCTTTCGTCATGAGCCACAGCTGTGATCACAATGACAAATGTTTTCAAAGTGCACTTTGAAGGGAGCAATTGTCAATATAAAGATGGCTAAAACTGAACATTAAAATACTTTGAAAGCAAATTACACCTAAGAGAGATGACTTTAATGGGTTTTTTAATAATTATAAGTTTAATTGTTAGAATGTTCTAAACGAATAGGGCTTAGGGCGGTTAACGGAATAAAACCCAGTCAGGAACTATGATTCTAACTGCAGCTCTAGAGGTGTAGTTGCAAGCATACAGTACAAGTTTGCGATGCAGTTTGCAAATGTTCATTGAAACGGTTAATTTGGGAAAAGCCAAATCAACAAACTATGTTTGTAACGACAAAACTTGCAAATTAAATTAGCTAACGATGTTTTTTTTAAAACCACCCCAGAAAAAAAAGCTATATGGATTGAATGGTCATCTCTTTCCAACATTCTTCTTTTGTGATCAGCAGAAGAAAGAAACTCAAACAGGTTTAAAACAAGTGGAGGGTTGAGTATGTAATGAATTTTCCTTTCAGGGTGAAATGTCCCTTTAAGATGAGATATAGGTGATGATAAGTATTTCACAGCGGGTCAAAAGGTCAACCATGAAACCATTCAGAATTTTAAATTATGCATAGTTACAAATGTTTAGATAATAACAGATAAACAAACCACAGCTGAAAGTGAAATGTGGGTTTCAAATGTGTTGACAAAAGTATCAGGGCATGTATAATGAACTGATGAGGTAATGCATTTCCCGTTAAGTACTTTAGGCTATGTGAGTACATTCTAGTGAAAGACTAACCCTTCATTAAACACACAAGCAACCAAGAGGACAGTGTGTTTGTATTAAGTAGTAATATGATGGATCAGCATGATGAAATAAAAGTCACAAACAGAAACAGCTTTCGTACTAGACTTGAATGATTTCAGATGCACTCATTCAGAAGTTATTCCCTAATTGATAAAACTGAGACATTTTTAACCTTGCACATCCTACAAAAATAGTGGAGTTCAGTTAAAAACATCAGCTCTAATTTAGTGAGGGAGGGATTAGAAACTTGAAAGTGATCATGACATTGAGGTAAGGCTGGTTTTATATTTGCACATTCTGGCTTTCTCCTTAATAATATTAATTCATTCATTTTCTTTTCGGCTTAGTCTCTTTATTAATCAGGGGTCACAACAGCGGAATGAACCGCCAACCTATCCAGCACATGTTTTACGCAGCGGATGCCCTTCCAGCTGTAACCCATCACTGGGACCCATCACTCCTTAATAATAAAATTATAAAATTACAGAAAATATTATTTTCAAATTTTACATAGGGAAATCATTATAGCAGCCAATGACTATTAAAGTACAACATTGTTCAGAGTCAATTAAATAGTGCTAATGTTGTTTTGAAGTCATACTTAAACGCAATTTCAGACCGAATAATCAAAGTACTATTGTGAACAACATGGAGACCATTAAAATGTCTAAATGTACGTATACAAAACCAACTTTACCTCAATAATAATGATTTTAAAAGGTTTCACGCAGAGCCGGACAAACTTCCACAAGTCCATTCTACAGCGCGAGACAAAAACACGACTCATCGCGCGCTCGCAGACTGGCTTGTGGGGTCGCGCGCATGCACTGAGTGTTTATATGCAATGTAATAGTTAAAAGTCCTTTAAACTTTGAGCAACGTGGGTGGCGGAGTAAAACAAAATCGTGATGTGAGAGAATTGTGTGTGTGTGGTGAGAGAGAGAGAGAAAAAGAGAGGGAGAGGCAACATGGATTCCCCAACATGCCACAATAAGCCTCCTGAACACGGCTACTGAAACTTCCCGTAGTTGGCGGGACAGTAACAACTTCTCAAGTGCATACTGGACAAGTGGCTACATGTTTAACAAATGAATGCTTGCTGTAAGTATGCCAGCGGTGATTAAAGTGAATTCACACTTCTGGAAAGCATTCATCAGAAAAGTAGGCGATACTTTCGCTTAAAGGGAAATGACTGCGCAGCTCTGTACTGTGATGCTTCACTACACTTTACAAGCTTAACGGGCCCTATTAAAAAAAACTTTAGAAACTGTACAGTCTATAAAGTTGTTATTATACAAACAAATGAATGAAACCTGTAATAAAGAGTGCGGTGAGAAAGCGGGGCTTCCATTTTGAATGTGCCAGTAGCATGGTTCAGGGCTCGCGCTTGAGCTGCACACACAGCTGGCACGCGCACAGAGCAACGAGGAGGATTTGGAGAGGAGAAAAGTAACGTTATTTAACAATTTGCGGAGGATTCACACAACATTGATGTCGACATCTTTCCAAGAACGACAAAAGCACGCGAGCTGCTGTTTCAGAGCTGTGGCCATTCAACAGGTTTAGTGCGGTTTGCGCTGACAGGACTTGAAACGCAATGAAGCTGTAATTTAGGTTTTAATGCAGCTGCTAAAAAGTAAACATCTGATAATTCATTAACTCTAGAATGAATACGCTGAGCTGGACTTCTGCTTTGACACTTAAGTAAAAGTAAATAAATGTAATGTATTACTTTTAAGTGCAGTTGAAACGCACTAGTTTTAACCTAAACATGGAAGCAAAACAACAGCACCGAGTGTTAAATCAGCCGGTATGTCAGAGAAGTAGATCCTGCCTGACAAACAGCCACTTGTCAAAAATCTAGCACATCAGTCCTGATATTGAATAATTAAGCACACTGAGCTGAATTGATGATAAAGTCCGAGCTTGAATCACTGGCTTAACAAACTCGCGAGTCAAAGAAGTTGTGGCAGCCCTTTATAATGCATGCCTGGGTAACTTACCCGAGTCCCCGGGGGTTTTCATGCTGAAAGTTATCTGCCCCGAACACTCGGCAAAGCTGGCTTAAGTTGTCAGTTCAGCAGCGGCGAGACTCGGCCTCTCCCGGACCCCCGTCTCCAAAAGGCCAAACTTTTGTCCGATGTTCAGCGCTCCTGCTGTACGGTGTCCGGCCTCTATACGCGATCCTCTAACCGACAGCGCCGAGTTTGGAAAGCGGTTCAGTACTTCCACTGGCGCAACGGGACGGGGTGCAGCGGAGTTCCGAAACAGCGCTTTCCCGTCTGTCCCGCGAGCGATCGATACAATCCCAAACACGGCGGCGGAGCAGCAGCACTCTCTCTGTCTGTTTCTCAGCGTCTGTGTTACTCTGCTCAAGACTCTCGCAACATTTTATCCTTGTGTTAGTTTGTCATCTGCTCTCCCGAGGCTCGCCATTCGCAGTGTATCAGTCAGTTTCCCATTCTCTCTTTCACACCGACTTTTTTTCCTTCCTCCACTCTCCCTAGTCTGAAAGTGCTCGCTGTCTCCTCCCCCCGGCCCTCTCTCTCTCTCCTCTCGGGTGTCGTGTTTCTCGCCGCCGCCGCACGGGGCCGCCCACACGGCCGGGGGGAGGAGGGGACCGGGCAGGAGGGTGGGGGGCACGGCTGAGTCACGCCCCCTCACCACGAACCGACGGCGCTGCGTCACTGCAGCACGAGGCGTCGTTATGGACACCGCCGTAGCCACGGTCCGTGATGACATCACATCCGCGTCCTACGAGCTGCGGAGAGCTCTGGATTCCGCGTCATCGCGCCGAGAACGTCAGCAACAAGTGCTTTTCGAGCTAATTAGCCCCCGTTCTCTTTCATTTAGCGACAATTATCATCCCCCATAGAGAGGTAACAGCGCAATGGATAATGATTTCCGGATCTTACCCCGCAAGATCAAACACTGAACCCCGAGGCCACTCAGACCACTCATGTTTTAGGTCAAAAACTAAAGAGTTGTTTGAGGAATTGATGCCTGTTCAAACATAGTCTATATTTTAAGGTAACAAAATGAGTGAAACTTTAAAATAAAGTGCTTAGACATTTCATATGCTTAGCTAATGTTAATTTCTACATTAACAAATCCACCTTAATGTTAGGTTAAGTAAATATTAATAAATAATTAGCAATGCTGTATGGGTATTAAAGTTAACAAATAAGCCTTACACTATACCGGTCAAAGGTTTGGGGTCAGTAGAAGTTTTAAATGTTTTAAAATAGCAAAAATACAGTACAACATGTGAAATTGTGCAATGTTATTGCACTATAATAAAACTGTTCAAAAGTAGTTTATAATTTAATCATTTATACCAGTGATTTAAAGATGCAATTTCGGCTTCATTACTCCAGACTTCAGTAACTTGATCCTTCAGAAATCACTCTAATATTGTTATTATTATTGGTAGTAGTAGTAGTAGAGTAGTAGTATTAATGGTAATAGTAATAAAAGCAATAATGACTGGACTAATTCACTTAAAACTACATACAATAGGAAAGTAGTTAAATAAAATGTAAAAACAAAACAAAAATAACAATTTAAAATCAAAATTTACTAAATGCTGCCTTGATGAACAGAAAAAAAAACTTTTAAAAAGAAGAAAAAAGTAGTGTATATCGATGTAAAGTATTACAAGTTTTATTAATATTCTTTAATATTCATTATTAACATGAAGACAAGTTTTTACTGGGTTTGACCTCAATAAAATGTACATGTAATTACAAAAAGGCACTGCAATTGCTGAACAAGAATTTACAAAATATTGTTACTAACCCTGCTTAGGGCATAGCAACTGGACGGGACGGGGGAGATATGTCCCCCTCACTTTTAGAGAAAAAACATTCAGAAACAGGCGATTAATAATATTTATATGAACATAAAAATTTGGATCTCATACAGCTGTCCCTCCAGTCATATATAAAATGTCATATATGCCCCTGAGCCTAATAATATTCAACTGAATTAAAATCCAACCAATATTATTATGATATTATAGTCACTGACGAAGGCTCATCGCTGAAATGTTCATTTCTCCTGCTTTATTATTTAACAATACAGTGTGGACCATCTTTTGCTGCTGTCATTCAAAGGAACTTTGGTTAAAGCAGTGTTTCTCAACCACGTTCCTGGAGGACCACCAGCTCTGCACATTTTCCATGTCTCCTTAACCAAACACACCTGATTCAGATCATCAGCTCGTTAGCAGAGACTGAAAGTCATGTTATGGGTGTGGCAAACGAGACATCCAAAACGTGGTGTTGGTGGTTCTCCAGGAACGTGGTTGAGAAACACTGGACTAAAACATCAAATTCTGGAAGAGCGTGGTGATTTTATTGACTGATACAATTTCTTAAAATTAAAGATTTAAAAAAAATTTGTAAATTATATATAAAAATTTCAGAAAATGACAGTTTTCATTTCTCTTAACTAAACTCCACCAAACATTGATTTTTAAAACTCTAATAAATTAAATTAGTAAATAATATATCCCAAATCTATAACTATTTCAGAATAAATTAATTAAACTGCACTTTTCATAAAAAATATTTGCTTAAGATACCTCACTTTTTAAACATTTTATTCAAAGATTATGTGCAGTTACTAGTAAACCTTTACATTGCGGGCCAGTGACCAAAACCTATTGAATTCTGTTGGCACATGCATGAGCATGAGAAAGAACAAGCATATTGCAGTGGCACTGCCAGTGTGAGAAAGTGTGTGTGTTTGTGTGTGTATGTTTGTTTCCTGTATGATTTGAATGAGATCCATCTGCTCGAGCATATACATCCTGTTAAAGCTCAGCACCTGAACCATAAAAGGACCCTCTTCCCTCCGTCACTGCCGAACAGTTTGTGAGTAAATGTGGTGTCTCTCATGAGCAGTGTTGCATATCTCCTGTTCTATAAGCACATCCTACCACTAGAAAACAGCGGACTGAGCAAGGTTTACGCAAAAATAATTCAATAGGGAGACTACGTCAATTTGCCATTCATTTAAAAACAAAATCCTAACCGCAATGAAAGGTATAAATCAGCCTAAAATGAAAATGGACAACATTTTTCATTGGTTCCAGACCTGTTTGTATGGAGCCAGATTAGTCTCAAAGATAATACATTTACAAAATAAAATTCATACATCCACAACACAATTAACATTTACAAAATCTATCCATAAATTTAAAACACGATTCAAAAATACACAAATCTAAATCATAAATTCAAAAAGTACGCAAATCCAATTTGTAAATTCAAAACACAATTCAATAATACACAAATCCAATTTATTATCTCAAAACACAATTCAAAAGAATGCAAATCCAATTCATAAATTCAAAACGATTAAAAAATACACAAATAAAAAAAAATCAGTATAAAAAAGGTGGCCCGACCACGCTAGAAAACATGACTATTTTATGCATTGTGGAATATATTGCCTCATTCAAACAAATTTATAGGATGTCATTAAAATGTACAACGAAAGAAAGAAGGACCACACCAACTGCACCCCTGGCTAAACATAACAAACGAGTCAGTAAATTAAAATCTTCAACATGTAGATGCGATATTCTTGTACTGATAAATCCTTTTTAATAAATACAATATTTAAAATGCAATATTACATAAAAAAAACATTGTCCATTTTGAGAACAATGAGAATAATGCTCTTTGAGGTTGATTTTCACTCTTTGCATAATTTCCATCCATACTTCAACCATTGACCAACTTTTTAATCAATTTACTGTTCTGATCTCAAGCCGTGGTAAATAACTGAGAAAGCATCAATCTGAGGCCGCATTGTATGATGTCATCATTTATTGTAGACGTCTTACAAAGTATTTTACAGTATTTTAAAAATACAAAACTACAAGACACTATATTGATACAAAATATGAAGCCATTTTCATCAATTCTATCAAATACAAATGTATTTGAAATACGTATTTGAAATAATGAACCATCGACTTATCCAGTATATGTTTTACGCAGCGGATGCCCTTCCAGCTGCAACCCATCTCTGGGAAACATCCATACACTCTCATTCACACTCATACACTACGGAAAACTTAGCCTACCCAATTCACCTGTGCCGCATGTCTTTGGGGAAACTAGAGCACCCGGAAAAAACTCACGCAAACGCGGGGAGAACATGCGTATTTGAAATACTTGTATCATAAAAACTGCCCATCCCTGATATTAATAATAATAAGACTTAATCTTCCTGTGCACTTTCAAGAATAATTTTTTGTTGTTGTTGTTTTTGGCACAGGTTACATAAAGAACCTGTAACATTTAACTTTCTATTTTAAAAATGATTATTTATTGGAAAAAGTTCCTTTTTAGGTTCTTGTTGGAATACTGAAGTTTATTTTTAAACTAATTTCGAGAGCAGCACATGCTTATGATTGACAGCAGCTGCTCCTCATTAGCTAAGGCATAATTATCCAATTAGACGATTCCTAAATCACTATAAATAACCAGAGTATCCGCCCCACACCCCCCCACCCCACCCTCAATCCGTACTCCTCCCCTTTCCTTGTCAGGGCAGCATGTGGCCCAATGGTTAGCATTATTGCCTAACAGCAAGAATGTCACTGACTCAGATCTTACCCGACCAAGTCGGCATTTCTGTGTGGAGTTTGCATGTTCTCCTTGTGTTTGCGTGGGTTTTCCCTGCGTTCTCTGTTTTTCTCCCACAGACCTAAAACATGTCACATAAGTAAATTGACAAAAATAAATCGATATCATAGACAAGCGTTGAATTCAGCATACACTCTTCAGCTATTCATAACCTACATTTACCCTTATAAAGCAGGGGAGTTCTCGAGATCCGTTTTCCGGATCGTTTGCGAAGTGTGATTGCGCTGAATCGGGCTCAGGCATGGTTCACCTGGCCGGCCCTGGCCTGGTTGGAAGGAGTGTGCCTAAGCGTGGTTCACTTGGGCTTTGGTGCGATATGCTTGTGTGTGAGTGCAAAACGTGCCTAAGCCCGAAACTGAAAGCGAGACGTGACTTTTAAGGGACTGTTTCATATGGATTAAATAATCATATTTACTGTTCAATGAACACAAACTGTCGTAGGTTAATAAAGACGCAAACCCCTCACTGCACAACAGCTGCACCTTCAGCAAACCTCCTAATTCCGGCACCACGAGGACTTCATGATTATCTTTCCAGCCTGACCAGCTAAGACCAGGCTGGAAATGGCTGGAAACCAGCCTGGAAGTGGCCAAAACCCCTCTAAAACCAGGCTGGTCGACCAGCTAAAACTAGCCAACCATCCTAGGCTGGTTTAAGCTGCATTGTTCAGCAGGGGTGTCACTGCATATCAAATGACTTAGGCCGTACTCACACTAGGTACAGTTGCCTCGAACCGGGCCAAAGCACGCTTGTCCCCCCTCCCGTCTCCCCCGACGGCCCGCGCTCACACCATATCGCGCTTCGGCACGTTTACGTCATCGCTGCTGCTCTGTTCAGTGAAGCGCTCTCTATGGCAAGCCTTTTTTAGCATTTAAATCTTTGTTCTGACTCCATAAATATATTTAGAGATATCTCTAATTAT